CTGTAACACATGATATAGACAAAACTAAGATTTTTTATGATCACAAAACACATTGTAACAAACAAAAAGTAACGTTCTTCACCACCTTATAACGCTGTAACACATGATATAGACAAAACTAAGATTTTTTATGATCACAAAACACATTGTAACAAACCAAAAGTAACGTTCTTCACCACCTTATAACGCTGTAACACATGATATAGACAAAACTAAGATTTTTTATGATCACAAAACACATTGTAACAAACAAAAAGTAACGTTCTTCATCAGTTTATAACGCCGTAACACATGATATAGACAAAACTAAGATTCTTTATGATCACAAACTACATTGTAACAAACCAAAAGTAACGTTCTTCATCACTTTATAACGCTGTGACACATGATATAAACAAAACTAAGATTCTTTATGATCACAAAACACATTGTAACAAACCAAAAGTAACGTTCTTCACCACTTTATAACGCTGTAACACATGATATAGACAAAAGCTAAGGTTGTATATATCATCACGTATCCAATATATTATACGTAGATACTACAGATCTTTATCGTCACATAAAACATACAGAATAAAACACGCAACAGATGTATATATATATATATGCTCTACACAGCAGATAAAGTTCTTTGTCACAAATTAGCAGAAAAAGAAAAAAACATGTGATGCATGTATATAACACAAATACAATCTGTTTGGTGTCTGTTAAAAATATAAGGCAGAGGAAAATTGAAAGTAATACCTGGAAGGTCATCCTGGCCTGGCCTGATTTCCGGACAAATATTATTTACGCTATTGGTGAATTCCTCTAAAATACAAAATATATAAATCCTAATTTGAAACTCAAGTAACAACCAAATGAGATAAAAGTATAAAAACTGGTATTATATTGCGATCAGTTCCATCATTTATAACATCACATCTATTTTCGTATTATAAAAAAAGGGTTAATTTCAGATTCCACAATTTAGGTTTTAAGGAGTAGGTATATTCATTGGTAATTCCTCAAAATTCAAAATCAGTTTTAGGAGGTTCAAGCGAAGACACGAAAGAAAAAAAGTCCTTCAGGAAAGGTATTGTTTCAAAGCATTAAATAATTTACTCTAAAAAAATTGTGGTTATCCAGAAGGGTATTTTTGCAATAGAAATATGATTTTTGCCGTCTTTCTAAACCAGTTTAGTGTCTTAAGGCTATATTTTCAGTTATGGACGGAAGTTATGTAAATTCATGATTAATGAAAGGTTGCTTCCCTTATGTGTAATTGTAAAAAAACGCAAAAATGCCTATAAAAACTGCAAAATACAAAATGTGAAACCGCAAATTTGCATGTATCTACGCATGGGTCCAACAAACCTTAATGCTAAATTTGGTGAAGATGCATCAATAGGGGGCGAAGTAGTGGTTAAAAAACGCAAAAACGTCTATAAAAATCTAAAACCGCAAAATGCAAAACTGAAAATTTGTATGTACCCCTTCTTGGGCCTAATGAACCTTCATGCCAGTTTTGGTGAAGATCAATCCACACTCTGCGAAGTAGTTACATGGACATTCAACAGACGGTATTATTATATTTATTTTGTGTTTTATGTTACAAGATTTAAACTCCAGTGTTGAAGCTTTCATCAGATGTCCTGAAGATCCGTTTCTCATGTGTTCGACAGTTATTTTCATGATAAAAATTACTTCGGTTATATAGATTATACAAGTGATGATACACAAACATGATACAAATTACTATACACCTGTCTATACGATGCAAGTAACTATATTTAGCTCTATACATGCTACTGCTACAAATTACTTTTTCTCTATATAGATAAGTCTCGTGTAAGTATAACAATATAGACAATATAAATTATTGTTTAGATGTTTAAACATGATACAAGTTACTATGTGTTGTATATAGGATAGAAGAATTTATATTGTAATATATATAAGTGTTTATCTGCTTATATGCATGCCAGTTTTGCATTTTAAACTGTTTTTACATATATTTGTTATAATATAATGTAGTTCCAGTTTTCATTAAAAACAATCTTTATAATGAATATTAGTGTGACGATCCATTCAATTAAGTCGATGTTAAAATAAATATTTTTGGAGTTAACAATTTTCATCGTTCTTTGAACTGCAGAAATTATGTAAATATAAACTGGCCTAACAAAAAGACGAATATTAAAGATATGTTAAAACATTAGTAAAACAAATCAAATTCTACAAAATAAGCTAGGCCTAGGCAAGGATCAATATTCAAGATGCATTATAACGTTACTAAAATTAATCAAATCGTTCAGAATAAGAAAGAGGCGATATTCAAAATACATTACAACATTATTTATACGAACCAAGTTTGTCTTAATAGGGTAGGCCTAGGCAAGATATGATTTTAAATATACATTAAAACATTAATCATATGAATAAGTTCGGCAAAAAACCGACTAAGCCTAGGCAAGAAATGATGTCCAATGAACAATATTTCCACAAATCGGCTAGATCTGGACAAAAGACACTACTCAATATACATGAGAACACTGTTACTATGAGTAAACTCGCAGCAAAAACACTAGGCCTAGGGAAAGGACGATAATAAAAATAACAAAAAAATATTAAAACGTTGCTAAAATGAGCCAATTCCTTCAACACTGATCAAAATATTTGTTTCCACCTGATTCGAAACTACTGATGAACAACTACGGTGGTGTATTTTATTAACCTTTTAAAATATTTCTAGCGCATTTCGTATTTACGCCACAGCACTTCATAAACATTTTATTTCAGATCTATCTTATTTAAATTATTAAATTTGTTTGCCAGAGGTCGCTCACTAGCTAGAATCCCTTTTGTTCAATACCAGAACTATTAGCTAAGTTAGACCATAAGCTTTAAAAGGTCTAAAGTGCTTCACCATCTACGGCGTTTTGCAATGTTTAATGCTGAACAATAAATAACAACAGTGAAATACATATACATGATTTTTTCCAATTTGATTTAGAGCTAGAAATAACATAAATTCCTTAAATGTCAAATAATAACTAAAAAAAGAGGGGGGAAGGTTCTCTGAAGAAATAAAACAAATAGTGCAGGTGATGTTTAACAAACCTGATATCAAGTGTTTGACAAAAAAACAACTTATATTTATAAAATACGATGTAAATGCAAGTCTTGTAACCTATGATGGTCTCTTTGTCTATACGACCATGCCGTCAAGTTATTTTCGCAACGATGGTTTTCAGAATATATTTTTCTCTTCCTGAACTTATAAAAGTTTGTTTTATTTTGGATATAAGTAAGTAATTTATGGTTACCACCCCTAAAAAAATAGAAATATTAGAAATAAATTTGAATTCATGGTTTTCACTGTATTTGTTATCGTAAAACAAGAATATTATAAAAAAGAAGACATTAATAAAAACAATATATATATATACATATGTATATAAACGTATACTACTCACGTGATAACACGAGGTCCTGAGGAAGCAACGTGATTGCTATGGTAACCAAGGCTAATGGCCACATGTCCGAGAAGGACCTGAAAACAATAGAAATTTACTTGTTTTTGTCTTCCTTTCCTGTCCTAAACACACATATTTATTAAATGCGGCAAATAATAATGCACAGTCGTTAACAGTTTGCAATATTAAAACAAGTTTTTGTTTGTTTATTGTCAAGTATAAAGCTACACAATGGACTTTCATTATGCTGTGCTCACCATGGGTATCGAAACCTGGTTTTTAGCGTCATATGCCTTCAGAAGGGGCTTCAAACAAGCAATACTTTGCTTATGATAAGAAAAGTACACATTAAGTGAAATAAACAGCTTTTATGACCTAAGTCGCAACTAACTGTTTAGCGAGACAGAGATTTAGTGTAATCTAGAGGCACAGTAACGACTCTTATAGTATTCTCAGGTTCGCTGATTTCCCTGCGAATAATTAGCAGAATGGTTCGTCAGAAAATGTCTTGCGGAGCAACATATGAGTTTTCTTAACCTCGACTAAATTTGAAACAAAGAAAGATACTGGACATGAGTTTAAGCTCAATTTCCAAAACACAAGCATAATCACAGTTAAAAGACAAGTGTAGTTAGCGGTAACTGTACATGAAAACGTGGCATTATATGAAAACAAAAAACAATAAACAATGCTATTCTTCTCAGGATACAGGGCTACCCACGAGACTATCAGTTATTACAAAACAATGAATGTTGTATTTTTGGGCCAATACCCGACTTGCCAGTAGAAAATATCCTTGTCACTTTTTATACAGTATGTTCGAGTATGTTCTGTTTTAAAGCAAGTATAATATGTAAGACTTTAATTTAATGACCTAGTTTTGTGAGTAACTAGGACGAGAGAAACTTAGTAATTCTTTTGACCAACATTCTATATTAAGAATACTTACTCAAGACGTACATACATTTTGAAAAATTTATATATTAACTAAGGGAGAAGGAAACACATGGTATGCTTACATATTACAACTAAAACCAAGTCTGGATGTGGAGTAACACTACCGTGACTCCAGTTGACCAAATATGAGGAAACCACAGATGTCCTAAATATTGGAATACCACAATAAGAGGGTAGGAAACACATGGTATGCTTACATATTACAACTAAATCCAAGTCTGGATGTGGAGTAACACTACAGTGACTCCAACTGACCAAATATGAGGAAACCACAGATGTCCTAAATATTGGAATACCACAATAAGAGGGTAGGAAACACATGGTATGCTTACATATTACAACTAAATCCAAGTCTGGATGTGGAGTAACACTACAGTGACTCCAATTGACCAAATATGAGGAAACCATATTTCTAAATATTGGAATACCACAATAAGAGGGTTGGAAACACATGGTATGCTTACATACCACAACTAAAACCAAGTCTGGATGTGGAGTAACACTACCGTGACTCCAACTGACCAAATATGGGGAAACCACAGATGTTCCAAATATTAGAATACCACATAAGAGGGTAGGAAACACATGGTATGCTTACATATTACAACTAAATCCAAGTCTGGATGTGGAGTAACACTACAGTGACTCCAATTGACCAAATATGAGGAAACCATATTTCTAAATATTGGAATACCACAATAAGAGGGTTGGAAACACATGCTATGCTTACATACCACAACTACAACCAAGTCCGGAGTGAAAAATAGACTGGTAC